AGAGGTAAGTTCTCACCCCTCCCAGCATGCCCCTCCCTGAGCTACCACAGCAGCCCTAGGATGTCGCAGTATCGCACTCTGTCTGCAGGGATGCCCGCCCACGGCCTGAGACCTCTGAGTCTCTTCTAAGACAAGCCTCTGCTAAGATGTCCCCAAGACCCCCTGGTCCTCATCACAGAAGCTGTCCATCACTTCTGACGCCCGGCATTCTGCAGGAAGTTCTCCAGGCCCACCATGCCATTTCAGCCACACAACAAGACAGATGTTGGTAAGATTAACTCAGCTTTCTAGTCGGAGGATTCCAAGACAAGGGGGCTAGGGTTTGCTGAACCGGAACCAGGGGCTGACAGTACAGTGGAGAGACCTGCAGCTCGGGTCCCTGCAGCACTACTGACGTTTCTCTCACTGCATCCAAGGGCATCTTGAAGTATCTTCTTCATTCTGTTCAGACAGCCCAGGCCAACCCAGAATCCCTTGTGGGGAGGTGAGTTGTGACAGAGCCAGCAACTGCCAGCCTAGGACCCTGGAGGTTGCTCAAAGTCCTCCAAGCAGACTCCCTTGCAACAGCCTCGCTTGGAATGCAACATCGAGCTGCAGCATGGACTGGCTCCATGCTCTCTGGTGACTGCTCAAGCTTCTAAATGGAGGTAAAAAAACAATCTTTCTCTTTGAAAGCACTCAACCAAGGGGGCTCAGGGAAACACTGTGGTTACTGAGGTGAGGCACAGACAGAGGCAGGGCCTCTCTCCTCAACCTCTGTCTCTTTCCCCATATCTGTCCAGGGCTGGTGCTAAGAAGAAGCTGCAGGGGTGGGCTGAGGGACATACTGAAAAACACTGTGAGGAGAGCCCTGACTTCTGGGTCCTCTACCAACCCCGTGCAGAGCTGAGAACCATACAGTTAATTCAGCTCCTCTGCTTTGTGCCTGCAGGGAAACTGAGGCCCACATCACAGCAGAGTGAAGAACAGGACTGATACTCTCTGACCTCCAGTTGAGTCTTTCTGGATGGGCATGTTGGGACTCTATTCTCCACTACCTTTAGAAAGGTTCTGGTAACCTCCCTCCCTGATTTCCCAATTAATCACTAATCATTTGGCTGCCCAGGGCTGGCTCTCTAGCTTGCCACCTAGTGGTGAAATAGAGAGCTGCAGGCTACAGCTGAATACATACCAAAGTGGACACAGCTAATGAGTCCAGGCCCCTCCAGGTCACACATTACCTGGTGACTCCTCATGGAACACAGGGCAACCAGGGACAAATAAGGCTTTCCTGCAGAAAGAGGGGCTCAGTTGTTGGACTTCGGGGATCTCCATTTTCTAACCGCCATGCATTCCTGGAGTTTACTTAAGAAGGTGAGTTCAAGCCAGGTGTGGTGGTACGCACCTTTGATCCCAGCATTCAGGAGGCAGAGGCAGAAGGAACTCTGTGAATTCAAGGACAGCCTGGTCTACTAAGTTCCAGGAAAGCCAGGACTATGTAGAGAAATCCTGTCTCAAAATAAAAAGGAAGAGGCAGAGATGGAGGAAAAAGAGAAGAAAGAGGAAAGGGAAGGAGGGGGAGAAGGAGGAAGAGAAGAAAGGAGAGGGAATGAGGAGGAGAAGGAAGAGGATGAGGAAGAGAGGGAGAGAGGGGGGGAGGAAAGGAAGACAGGGAGAGTTGTTTATCCTAAGGGGTTTTTTTTTTCCCCAGGAACATAGCTGTTTACTCAGCCTGGTGGTATTTTGGCTCCTGGGGGCTCGTGCCCTCAGCATCTCCACAATGCTGGACTCTGGGAGAGGTGACTGTCAGCTGAGCAGGCTTCTGAGGGTTCCCAGGGGGGCCATTAGCTGTTAGAAGGTCCTGTGGAAAGACCTACAGCCTCCATTGGCTATCTGTGCACAGAGCCTCGGTAATTGGAACTTCCAGAAACACAGGGATGTTGGGCTTAAGACTGACCCTTGCCCTTCTCCAGAGAACAGGCAAGCTGCTGCTTGGGCCATGGAGTAGCCACCTTAGTCCCAAGCCACTTAACAAGCTCTGTACACGGCCATCCAGGGTGGCCCAGGTTCCACAGATGCTCCCATGAGGGACAGACACCGTGACATAACATATACACATTTCCTCCCATGCACACCCATCTACATGCACTCACATGTGTGCATACGTGTTCTCCTGGGAATACATACAGATCTCCATATCCACACACCGAGGTCCAGAAAACATCCAGCAAGAGAAAGACCCACCCCTGTATGTCCATCCTGTCCCTTTGGGCCTTCTCCCATTCACTGACATTTCTTCACATGGCTGCCCCGTCCTTGTCAGATCCCAGGCCTGACAGAGACCATGGCGTGAGATCCTGTACTAATGCCCTTGTGGATAAGAATACCCTGCCACATGCCCCTCGCCTCTGAAGTAACCAGGCTTGTAGGCTCCATGCCAGAAACACAGTGTAGAAGAAGGCAGCTACAACTGCTGTCCCCGGGACAGAAATAGAAACATTGCAGGTGAGGCCAGGAAAGAGGGAGGGCCCCTGCTCTGGGATCTCAGTGCTGAGGCCCTCAGTGTTTTAAAGCTAATGCCGATGACTCTCAGACCTGGACTCATGGGTACCTCCTCCCTCCCTCTGCCCTGCCCAGCATTAGCCATCGCTTCCTGGCCACTGGAGCAGCTTCTCAGACCAGCTCACCCCACCTTCCTGCCAGGGCCATGTCTGAAACACCCTCCTGATGACCTCTCCTATCCCCCCAGCCTCAGCCCCACTCCCTGAGATTTATCTGGCCCCTGCAGCAGCCAGTACCTGGGATCCCCAACAGGCAGAGGCTAGTGACTTCTAGACTTTCGCTCTGACCATGCCCCACGCCCCTTCGCCTCACTGGTCTTTCCCACTACCAGTTCATTCCCAGGTTTCATGGATCTCAGCTCAGATGCCTCTTCCCCGTGCTGCTTCCTGAGCTTGGCCGGGCCCAAGGCACCACTGTCTGGGCCTTAGCAGCACGAGAGGACGAGAGGATGCAGAGATGTGTTTATTGAGCATGTGCATCTCCCACGTGTTTGAGGGGTTCCTTCCACAGTTCTAGGAATGAAATGGCTGAGATCTACCCTGTGTCGGGTTGAGGAGACAGCTCGGTGGGTAAAATGCTTTCCTCTCAAGCATGAGAACCAGAGTTCCAATCCCCAGGAGGCATGGAAAAGTCAGGCTATCCTGGCAGCCTGCAATTCTAGCCCTCAGAAGGCAGAAACAGAGCAAACTGGTGAGCTCTGGGTTCCGTTAAGAAATTGTCTCAAAGAATAAGGTAGAAAGTGATCAAGGAAAATTCTTTGGCATCAACCTCAGGCCTCCATGCATGCAGGCATGTACACACACATGCAAATACACGTACATACATGTACACTAAGCACACAGACATGAGAGAGGAAGAACAGTTCCTGGTTCCCAAACAGATCTGAAAGTCCCAAGTCTATATCCTCCTCCTTCCCTTCCCTATCTTCCCACTCCTAACATAGGGCAGTGGAGGAGGCATCCTACATCTGCTACTTGCTGGCAGTTGCATCCTTCCTTGATCAGGGAACCAGGTCTTCAAGGCTGTTTCTTCATCCCCCAAATAAGAATAGACCAGATTCCTCTTTGAATGATTGTAAGGTTAAAAACATCAAGGGAATACAGACTGGGCAATATAGAGCAGACCCCAAGCAACCTCTCAATTTAAGTTGGGTTTGGAATGGATGGACAAATATATGGATATGATAGGTGAATAGATAACTAGGTGGAGAGACAGAAAGTGGGGCAAATGAATAGATAGGTTTATGTGTGAGCGGATGGATGGATGGATAGATAGATAGATAGATAGATAGATAGATAGATAGATAGATAGACAGATAGATAGATAGATAGATGATAGATAGATAGATGAGTGGATGGGTAGTAGATAGATACAGATGAGTGGATAGGTGAGTGGATGAGTGAATGGATGGATGATGGATGGATAGATGGATGGATAGATGGATGGATGATGGATGGATGATGGATGGATGGATGGATGGATGATGGATGGATGGAAAGTGAGTAGATGGTTGGGTGAACATATAGAAGGATGACTGTATAGACAGATGAGTGAATGAGTAGCAGTTGGATAGATAGGTGAGTAGGTAGGTGAGTGGGGGTAGGTGGATGCATGCATTCATGAACAGGTGAGTAGAGGGGTGAATGGATAAACAGAAGATGAGTGGATAGATGGATGGATGGATGGATGGATGGATGGATGGATGGATGAGTGGGTAGGTGGATGGGTGGATGGGTGGTGGGTGGATGGATGGATGAGTGGGTGGGTGGGTGGATGGATGGGTAGGTGGATGGATGGGTGGATGGATGGGTGGTGGGTGGATGGATGGGTAGGTGGGTGGATGGATGAGTGGGTGGGTGGATGGATGGATGAGTGGGTGGGTGGATGGATGGATGGATGGGTGGTGGGTGGATGGATGGGTAGGTGGATGGATGGATGAGTGGGTGGGTGGATGGATGAGTGGGTGGGTGGATGGATGGGTGGATTGGTGTGGGTGGATAGATAGACAAATGTGTGAATGGATAGGAAGGTAGGTGTGCAAATGAGTAGACAATCCTATGGGTAAGTAGGTGACAGATTCAAGTTCTAAGCCAGCCATGACCGGCTTCCCAGTGAAGGACTAAACTCATTCTCCCTCAGGCTAATCACTTTCTTTTCTTACACAAGCCCCCTTTGACAGTCTGTATGAACCACCCCCAAGTAACCTTTTCTCTCAGAACAGTCAGACTTCCCAAGTGCTGAAATCCAAGTTATTTGAGAACTCAGAGTCATCAAGTCCCCCCTCCCCAGCACTTCTGGGTACCACATGCTGGCCCATGAGTTCAGTGGGAACAACGTGACATCTGCCCAGCACCGTGAGCATAGATCTGGCCTAGGGAGGAACTGATCTATCTTCTCTGAGTAAATAAACAGGGAAAGCTGGGCAGGCAGTGATGTGTGGGCAGAGAGGTCCAACTCACTGGGTACACGGTTGATGGCTTTGAGGGGCCTCAGGACACGCACAGTGCGGATAGCTGACAGGTTGATGTTCTGAAGGTCCAGAGAGTATTCGACCATCCTATGAAGAAAGGAGAGAATGAGGGACAGTATAGAAAATACTCAGGACCAGGTCCCAGGGTGGGACCACCCAACCACCCACACTCCCTAGAACAGTGAGGAAAGGGACCAAGATCCAGCTGTGCTGGGTTCCAGTCTCCTCTGTAAGCAGGGTTAGCAGCAGCAACACACCTGTCACAGGGATGCTGCAGGTACAGTCAGGAGTGGAAGTGGAAGGAACAGAAAAAGGTCCCCACTATAGAGTCAGCACCATGCCAAGCAGCCCCCCACCCTCTATACCCTATGCATCTGACCCCTGACTTATGTCAGCCCTTCTCTTCCAATGTGGATGGTTGGCCATCAGATTAAACCTAGAAAGCTGAGGGGCCTCAGGTTGGTATCACGTGGAAACTGGGTGTCACTGACATCAATAATAGCTTTATCAAGCCTCCATCATAGAGAAGGGCCAAGAGGGACCCACCAAGCTGGGAAACAAAGTCCCAGGAAGAAAGCAAGAGGGTAAGAGAGACGAGGCTAGAGCCAAGCATCGCACGGGGCCAGCCTCCTCTCTGCCCATGTCACACCAGCCCGAGGCATCTGGCAGCACATCAAGACGTGACAGGCATTCTGTATTCTTAGGGTGCTGAGGAACGCTGTACTGGTCAACCACACTTCAGGCTCACAGACACTCCTCAGCCAACCAAAACCTTTCTCAGGCGTCTCTTCTGCCTGGAGGAGCCATCCCCTTGTCTGTGATGAAATCATGCTTGGGCTAGCAGTTCTCCCGCACACAGTGCTGGAGCCTCAGAAGCTTTTCCACACTGAGTCCAGAATGCACCAGACCAATGTCAGTACCATGGACCCAAAATGTCTCAAACCCAATCCTGCTGGGCACAGTGACTCACACAGAGACGGGCCTTGGAGCCTCACACTGCCCTAGTCCCCTCTCTGCTCTGCTCCTCATTCCACTTGCCCTGCAGGGCTTTCCTGGCAGTAGCCTCTTCCAGGGAGCCTTCCCAGATCTTGAAGACCCACACTGAGGTCTAAACGCCAGTCAGATGTCACCTGCTGGGACACCACCGTCCTCCCCCTCGCTCAAAGATCCCCTCAACAACTGGCCTCAGGTATCACTCAGTAGAGTCTCCCTCATCTCACCCTGGCTCCAGCATGGCTGCCGTCTCCATATGTCACCAGTGTGGGTGGGAAATGAAGGCTTTCCTACACACCCAATAAACCTGTCCAACTGTTGTGAGCCACCGCCCCCTCCTGTCGCTTGAGGAGTAATTGAGCGAAAGCTGCCTCACCTGAGATGCCCCAGTCCATTCCCCGCTCTGTCCACACCTAGCTCTCTGGCAGGCTCCACTCTGTGCGCACGACCCCCACACGTGCACACCTGAGCTTGCTCATCTGCGAACACACTCGCATATGGACACCCTCAGACACACGCGCTCCTGCTTTAGCCTAAATTTAGAGAGGGGTGACCTCAAAAACAGTGACAGAGATTAGAGTCACAGACAAAGATTTGAGGGGAGGAAGAAGAAGAGAGAAGAAGGGAAGGCCAGCAGAGAGGGTGAGGCTGAGACCTGGCCATGGGGGAGGACAAGAGCGGCCCTGAGCAGGCAGTAGGGAGCAGGCCGCGTGAGGATTCCATGCGTGGGAGAACCAAACTGTCATTTTCATATTGTGTAGAAAGAGCTCTCCCAGCAGCTGGGGGACGCTTGTGACAGAGGCACTGTGGGGGCGGCACATGCTGGCACACACGCACGCACACACACTTGGGTGTTCACCCTGGCATGTTTTTGCTCTGGCACACGAGCACACGCACATACACACCCCGGGCAAGGGGGAGACACCCTGCAGCGTTCACCCACTCCACAGACCCTCTTCCCGCCGACGCAGGTTCTCTGGATCTGGTCGTGAGGGAGTGCTGTGTACATTTTGCTTGGGGGTGTGGGAGAGGAGATTCCCATGGACTGTGCCCAAAACCCTAGGTGGCACACCTGCCTAGCTCAGGACAGAGGGAACATGGAGCCATTTCTACCCCTGTGAAATATTTTTTTAAACATGCAGGTTTGAGAGATAGAGATAGGCAGAAAATCGGGGGCTGTCTGAGGGCTGTCTGGGCTCTATCCTGCCGACTCCTTGTATCCATCTGCCTGAGCCCCCTCCCACCCCCAAATTTGAGTGCAGCCACTATTCTGAACCTGCCTCTGTCAACCTTGGAGAGAGTTCTGCTCTAGAGCAGCCTCAGCAAGGGAGTCCTCAGGACACCCCCTGCCTGTCCACAACTCCAGGCCCCATAAGGTCACGTGCTCCAGTGTTTCCCATCCAGAGCCCCCAGGCCACAGCCTGGATGATCAGCACTGGGCAAAGCACAGGGCCTGAGATACGGCTGCCACGAAAGGTTCAGCATCTTGGTGGGATGCTCTCTGACACTGTTTCCCACAACCAGGGAGAAGAGACAAGCTGCCTGGATGCTGGATGGCATGTGGGCTGCAGCTGGATATCACCAAGGCCCAGCTAGTAAACAACAGGCTGAACACCTCCTCGCAGTGGGAAGTTGATGGGACGCAAGGCTTGGCCTCAGACTCAGCAAACCCCTCCACTCTGGCTCCCTAGAAGATGCAGAGTAGCTGCAGCCAGAAGTACATTAGAACCCTCAAAGCTCAGACAGAACAAACCTAGATAGACACTGCACACTAGCCCAGCCCCTGCCCTCCACCCTGGACCTCACCCTCCAGGGCTTCGAGCAGGAGCACACCCTCACAATGAGCTGCAAAATTTCCTGAGACCCATCTGTGCATCCCTCAGGCTCTCAAAACAAACAAACAAACAAAACAACAAAACCCTTCACTGCCCCCCCCCATGAAAGTTCTTGTAGAATTTAATATCAAAATGTGAATTCCTAGCTTCCTGGCAGCCCACTGAAAATGTGATATTACCAAGTTCTTAACAACATGAACAGAACACTAAAGCTTTAAAGCTCTTAAAACTTCTATGCCCCATGACCCCACTGGAACATTCTGCTATGGCTGTTTCCTGTCTCAGGGAGGAGTACAGTCAAATTTATTTGGGGATAAAAAGCACACATTAGGTGCACAGTGGAGAAGCTAGAAGCTTTCACTCTTCCCAGAGCGAAACATGACCAAAAGGATGCTGGACATGTGTGGGAGGGACAGGGAAGAACACTTGACTGGGAGACACGGACTATGAGTTTAAGTTTCTGCCCTAGGAACCTCACCATCCTGACAGAGACTCTTGCACCAGCAAGTCCAACCTGGGACAGCTGCTGCCATCTCTACCATCCCTGCTGAGACTAAGTCACTGTCCCTGTCTTCTGACAGCTGTGACAGCCTCCCTCCTGTTCTCCTGTCTCCTGCTTCCCCCCCCCCCCCCCCCAGCCCAGCCACATCGCAAATCTAAGTCTCCAGTGCAGCTGTGCTTCCCTAAAACCTTCCATGGCTCCCATTGCTCTCAGAAAAAAAGGTCAGACTCCTGACCACAGCCTTCAAGGCTGTCCCCAGGCTGGCCTTGCCCCTCTTCCCTGCTCCTACCTTCAGCACCCTAGGGGCCAAGCCAGGTTCAAGGACACCTTAGGCAAACACCTCACTCCCCTCCTTTCTGTCTTCTTGACGGCTCTTCTCTCTCTGCACCATCACCCCCTGTTCTGCCTCCTCACAGCCCACACTTCCCGGCAGGGATGGAGTCCCCTCTTCTGAGTCGAAGACTCAGGCTGCTCATTCACTCAAGAACTGATCCAGGAAAGATGAAGAGGGGGAAAGTAGTAACAGGGCTGTCCAGGAGCCCCGAGAGAACACAGAGACATCTGGGAGCTGGAGCAGCAAGGCTGGGCTGCAGCACAGGGGCAGAGAGCTTGCCTACCATGTGCAAAGCCCTGGGTTCTATTCCAAGGACGCGGTGCAGGGAGGTGGGCCAACAGCAACAGCACCTGCAGCCACCCCCAAACACAGTGTGGCACTAGGCGTGCCTCTGACCTTCATGGCCAGCTTCACCTGCTGCCTACACCCTGGAGACACTCAACCTATTGTGAATAACACTACCCACTCTGAGCCCGAGGCCACCTGCAAGGACAAAAGACGTCCCCTCCTCCTGTCACCAGGAAAGTGGTCTCTGGGCCCCTGGTCCTAGCTCCTAACAAGCTGCTGAGTGGGTGAGTAACTACGGGGCTGACTTCCCTCAGGCCCCAAGTAAGACATCGCTTTCAAGAGTGAGAGATTAATTCCTAATTACACAGTTACTTTTATCACACGTTTCGGTGCTAAAAGTCTTTAAGGAAAGAGAAGTCAACAACCCCCTCTGCCTCCTGCCAGCTCCCAAGCACCTAACTGGGCAAAGCGGTTTGGCTTAAAAGCACTTCCACCGAGGAACCTCTCCAGGGGAAGAGGGACTGTCCTCCCTGAGTGGCGGGGCGCAGGTGGGGGCCAGGTGAGAAGGAAGCAGATAGGATGAGGGGGCTCCTCAGGGTTTCTTGTGGTGTTCCTGAGAAAGAACCCTACGTTGAAACTCCTGGCTCCAGGGAGAGGCCCAGGACTGCTCAGATAAAGGTGCGTCCCCCTGACTCGGTCACTGTCACAGGGTCAGAATGGGCATGCAGCCCCAGGTTGTCCTTGAGGGTAATCCAGGCCTTGGGCTGGGCCAGGTGAGAGGAGATGCCCTTCCCTAAATATGTGGCCTGGAAACCGGAGGCGAGAGGACCACTTTGCCTCAGCGTGGCCTGAGGATTGCACCAACGCAGAAGGCTGGGGAAGAGCTGCAGGAATAGGGCCCAGGGGTGGAGCAGCTCTGCTCTCAATTCTGCCTCCTTCCTTCCCTTGAGGCTTGAGGGACAGGAAGCCTAGGATGCCTTGAGCTTCTGCCACCTGCCACTCCATCCTGGCAGGCTGGGAAGGGCCTCTCGAGCATTCAGAAGACACCAAGCAGACACACACATCCCCAGCTAAACTCTCCCACAGTCGGATTATTGCGCCTGTTGTCCGCAGAAGAGGAAGTCGAGGCCCAGAG